CAAAGTATGTTATCTGACTGTAGGGTCCAAGAGACCCATTTGCTAACTAACTACTCATATTTAATATCTTATTAATAAGGCTTACCTTTGCAAAGTTTACTTAGATCCTAGCATCAACTTTATAGCATATCTCTAGTACTTATAGTATACCTTTGTTTCTGACTTCAGAGTTCCAATTCAGATAGCCTGGTAGGACTATAATCTGTTCCTAGTACTTTAGGATCTGCTCTCTAAGGTTCTTTTCTTTTAGTTTGAGACTTCCAGTAGCCAGATTGGTAGTACTCTTCACATAAGGTTTTTGCTTATCCAATTTCTTCTACATTGGTATTTATTTTCTAGATTTAGGCTTTACAGTAGTACTGTTAAAGATTTATGCTACCTCTCTACTCAGGTTTTCCCAAGTGGATTCCAGTTTTTCAGTTCACAAATTTATATAATCACAAGAACTTATCTTAGGTTTGCATTACTTAATGCCAGTTTGCATTTCTCTGTATAACTTCAATATTGTGCAAATGCCCTATAACCTGCCAGTTATCTGATGCAACTATATTACAGGTACTGATCTCAACTAATCAATGAAGTGCTATTGTTGTAATACTGCTTATCTTCTGTAATACTGATATAATATAGATAGTTTTTTAAATTTTTGCTATCAGTAGATTTTGAACTCCTAACCTACTACTTGGGTGGTTAACAACTTAATCACTTTACTAAGTCACTATACTTCTTATAAGAAGAATATTTAAAGTAGTAATAACTCATATTTCTTAATAATTTTCTTAATTAACTTTAGAGTTAAAGTTATCTTATATTAGGGTTAAGTTAGTTTTAGATAGTTGTATATAAGCAAAATTGTTTTTTTGACATTTTTATTTTTGTATTTTATAGGATTTTTCTTATTTAATTTATTAGTGACCATCACAATTTTATAATTTGATTGACTTAGGTCATGTAAATTTGCCTATTTTAGATAACTTATATAAGATAAATATAAAAATGTTATATAATTAAATACTATACAATAAATATATATATTATATAAATAGATATATAATTCATATAATACAAGTATATTGTATCCACAGATATATATAAATAACTTCTATATTAAGAGATTTATTTTTTATATATAAATATAAATAAAATTTTTAAATTTTTAAAAAAATTTATAATTACTAATTTTTTTATATTAAGATGAAGCCTTGCTTATATATTTATTAGTAATTTTAGTTGTACATATTAATTACTAACTTTTTTATATATAAGTATTATTAATTTTATTATATAAAATTACTAATTTTTTTATCATTAATATTAAAAAAAAATTACTAATTTTTTATATAGTAAACTAATTTAAATAGGTAATTTTTTTTTTATTATAATTTTTTTTACATAATAATCATAGTTGAAAATTTGCAAGTTTATAAACTAATATTATACCAAGTACTTGCATAGTAATACAAAAAGATACTTAATTGTAATTAGTTAATTTAAAAATATATTAAACAAACTTTTTGATTTTTTTTAAAAAATTAACCAACTTTGAGATTTTTTTAAATAATATGTAATAAAAAATTAATTTAATTTTTTTTATAAATATATTCTATAAATTTTAAATATTAAATATATTTATTTAATTGTAAGTTATTATGTAAAATTTTGTATAATTATATTTTAATACAAATGTATCAAATGTATCAAATTGGTATATCATGCTTAATGAGACGGCCAATAATATTGAATTATATTTAGAATTTTGATCAAAAAATTTTTAAATATATTTTCTTACCTGAAAAAATTCAAGCTAAAAAATACAAGAAAACATGCATAAATACTTGTTGAATCCCAATTATAAAAATTCAATAAATCCTATTTTGTTCTTAGAAACATCTGATGAAAATAGAAATGAGAAATTGACTAATATATGTTAGAAAATTTATAAATTAATCCTAGAATAAAATCAAATACTTACATCTTGAAAAATCTACTATGTATTATTTGAGAAATATCAGAAGTAAAATAAAATATTAAAAAGAAAATTACGCATACATTTTTCAGCTGAAAGAAACCAAATGGTCTTGAAAATAATTAAGAAGATATATTAACTCTTTATTATTTGAAGAAAATGATATATTCTCAAAAAAAATGTATAACAAAAACTTCACTAATCAGTTATTAATAGAAGTTCAAAATCAGAGAAAAGAAGAAATGAATTCAGTATTGTACACTTTAACCGAGTTCATCTTTCTGAAAGAGATAATATTATACTTATGGTTTTTTCCTTATTTTTACCTTATTTAATTAATATATATTTCATCATTATTTTATTTTATTTTTATTCTATTTTGGATAAAGTAAGAAAAAAATTAATGTCACACATTTTTGATGAGGATAACTCTTAGCAAAAGCTAGAAACTCTTAATAAAAGAACAACGCTCCTAATAAGAGTCTATAACTCCTAATAAGAAAGAAACACTTCTAACAAAGGTTTAAAACATTAATATAAATTAAATATATAAAAAGAAAGAGCATTAGTAGTTGCTTGTATTTGTTTGTAAGCAATATGTCCTAAATGTACTTCTCCTATAACAAATATATTGAAGAAAAACACTAATAAAGAGAAATTGTTGTCATAAAAGTGTTGTTAGATAATCACATTTTAATTACAAGTATTAACCGTGATAATTTTGTTCATGATCAAAGTTAAATCGGCTCAAATAAAATGAAGCTTCCCTGATCGTAATAACAGCATCATGGCATTACGGCAATATGGCATATAATATTTACAGCAATCAGGTACTGTGCCGTAATTAATTCTGCCATCTAGTCAGCTTCAATAGTCAGATCAACTTCATCTTGTCTTGCAATGTAAGAATGCTGTTGAAAGTTAACTAAGCTATTTCGTTATAACAATTTAGACAAATAGTGTCATTTATTTGGAGATAAGAAGGTAAAGTATTGTTAGTTTGTCCCTTGTTAATAACGTTTTCAGTCACCTTTTTCCAACGAATTGACGACTGTGCTTGGCATATAGTATACTTGTTACCAGAAACCCGAAACTTTTCCGAAACTTTAAAATTGGAATGTTAATAATTAATGCACATTTACTATAAAGTAACCAAAATTTTCCTGAAATGCAATCTAATTATACTATATTTTAAGTCTTAACGTTTAAAATCAAATTTCTAAGCCTTTCAGTATAATGTTAGAGTTTCGGAAAGGGCTTCGGGTTTCGGTTTCGGGATTTTATATATAGTTTCGGGTTTCGGATAACAATTATAGCATATAGTAATTGGCCCATTACGGACCCTATTTGGGTGGCAAACAAAAGCTCTTAATTCCTTCACAATTAGAAGTTTTCAACAAAAGAGAGGTTGAACTTAATGAAAAAGATTCACTAATTGAATCTCTCAACATACGCCTAGTCAGTGCTGAGATGAGGCAAAAACATGCGCCACATGATCTATTAAGACAGCTTCACAAAAAAGACTATATAATCAATAATCTTAGTGGGTTGAAGAGATTGAAGCCGCTATGAAAGATAAAGATTACCAAATCGAGGTTCTCGCTAATGCTTGGCTGTGAAAGAAACGGACAGAGAAATTAGAATGACTTTTACAAATTGATCTATCAAAAATAGCATATTGAAAAAGTTGAGGGTATTGATGATGATTCTTTAAAATTTTCTTAATCGTTTAATCGTTTAATTTGGCCGGCATTAAAATAATTCCGGCCCACGATCAACATAATTCTGCCCGGAACTCGGAGCAGTTTGTAAACGGTTAAACGGTTCCAATCCCTACCCTAATTTAAATTCAATGTTTTATTTTTATTAGGTTGATTTCATGTAGGCACGATTATGAACTACTTCTCTTATAAATTTAGTGATACAGTATGTTACCGATTATAAGCAAACTTGAATACTAATAAAATTGGGCCTGAATATAGCAACGTCTTTATTTTGACCCGGAAAAAATTCTCGTTTTTTGTTGCAACATTTTGATTCAACAATATATTTTTTAACACATGGTGTTCGTGAATCACCTGAGTGTTGTCTGTTATATGCACAAACATACATCCTCTTATATACATTAATTTTTTTAGCCATTCTGTATTCATGTTTTTAGCAATGCAAAATATTTTTTTATAATTTTTGGTAATATATATTTAAAGACTTTAGTGGCATTCTTTAAAACAATGCGACATTTTCGAACGACATTGAAATTTGATCTATGTTTGATCTTGTAGATCGATATTTTTCATTTGATTCACTATATCTCCGCAAAATGGTGATTCGCTAGTAATTGAAGAAGGTTGTTGCTTACTTTTAATTCGTAAAACCAATCCGTCTCTATCTCTTATAGTTTGTGTTGACACTATTTCAGGGGATGAAGAAGTTTTAGACTGTTTTTAATCAATCAATCAATATGTTGCAAAGTAGAGAAGGTTAGATTATATAATAATGTCAAAGATTTATTAAATTTGAGTGTGTATAAAATGATAAAATAATACAGTGCTTTACCCAGTTCGACTGTCTCTCTACAAGTTCAGTGCATTTTCTTACATTTTCATTTGTGAGGAACCATTTTTCTTCTTCTTCTCCATTCATATCATCGCCATCCAGATAATATTTAAACCTTAATGACGACCATTCTAAACCTTCTTCATGTTTCCTTAGTAAAATTACAACATTATTATTGGATATTGAAAAAGAATTACTAGTAGGATTTGTTTTTGGATGATAGATTTCTATAATTAAAGTTTTTTGATTGGTAGTATTGGATGATGTTGGAAAGTTGGTTTCTTTAATTATTGTCTGATAGAATAAATGTTAACAAAAGTAGATGACGTATTACAAAATATATTCAATTGAACAATACGTACACGTTCTGATTCAAAGATTATGTCAATGTTAAAATGATTATTAAGTTGAAAATGATCGTATACTATAGTACTATAAGCGTAATTTTGATAATAGTTAATACATTGTGAATAGTGAGTAAATGTGGTTTTCAGAGACTGCATATCTGATATTCGTATAACCATTGCAGAAAAAAAATGAAAATTTTTATCGTTATATGGTCAAATATTGTGGTACAAGGATGTTGGTACGTAACTATATCAGATTTACCTATGTATGCCAATCACTCGTAATAGTCATGTCATCTAGTGAAACTCAGTCTTTGATTTCTCTTTCTCTAACAAATGTAGAATTTGATTCATCCGATCCTATTGCTTATGCTTTTGCATATATAACCTTATCTCCTTTAGTTATTTTGGTAGTATATCCTACTATAATTGTCGCTCGAAGGGAGGTGGCTTCAATCAATATGTTTATTGGCCAATTCTCTTGCGAAATTTTGAACGCCGTGTTAAAGAGATGGTTAAAGGAGAAAAGGCCCACTGGTATTCCAAAAAAAGTTTTTATGCAACACTTTTCTTTCTTGAACAGAATGTAAAAACTGAATCTAAATGGTCAACTTGATAGATAAACTTGGGGATGGATATGGAATGCCCTCTTCACATGCCCAATTCATTGCTTATTTTACAACCTTTTCGATTTTATACTTGTATATTAGGTATTTGTGCTTAAAACTTGGTGGTTTTTCTATATATCATTTTATGAATCATTTTATTTATTAGGATTACTTTCGATCAAAATTTATGGAAATTTCCGATAGCTTTTAGCTTGATAATATTATCTATTACTGTTTCTTATTCTAGGTATTGCTTTTAGTCTCTTATTCCTTTAAATGACAGATTAACTTTACTAAACAATTTCTTCCTTTAGAATATATCTTGATTACCATACATCAAAACAAGTTTTAGTCGGCAACATTTTTGGCGTTGGTTTTGCTTTGATATGGTTCATCATAACAGAAAGTATTTTACGCTCTTTCGGCGTGTTCAAATTAATTGTTGAATCTCCTCTTGCAAAATTCTTTTACTTGCGAGACAGTTCATATGTTCCGAACATTATAAAAGTTGAATATATGAATTGGGTTGCTCTATCGTCTAAACAGAAAAAAACATGAAAAAAAATGTAATAGTTGTAGAAATTTGTTTAGAAGCTTCAAAATGAATACATGCTCATCGAAAAGATAATAATTTATGTTAACTGTGTCTAAAAAAGACTTATTCTAGTTTCTTTGTAATCTTGCATATATTCTTCTAACAAACTATCTTTGTACAATTGCTTGCTTGTGTGAATTCTTGGCAATATAGACTTGATCTGAATGAAGTTTAAAGAAAACATTGAATCGGAAAAGAAATCTATAATTAATAGTAAAACTTTCCTTAAAAAGCACGTTCATTTGAAGAGATGCACCTTACGTGAAAACCTGAAACCGATTTAATGATTTACTATGATTGGTTTGCTAGGTTTTTATTTATACAAATTGCATCATATGACTTCATATCTCGTGCGAAGTCAATTAACTAACCAAAATCTATAATTCTCTGAACTCAAGATTTGGTCGTGGATGAGGTCACCTCGCACTTCACGCAAAATCATATGATTGTGGGATGTGATGTATGCTAGTTTTACGATTATGAATAATGGAATTTTCGTGCGTCAAAATTAGAATGAAATCTGAGATACGTAGGTGATTTGCGTCAACCTAAAACGATGATATTTGTCCAAATTTCTTTATCGGTATTATAGTTCTTATAGATACGTATATTGTTTTCCATGAGTATATATACGTTGCTTCTTTGAAGGATATATATCCATTAGAATATGATCTAATTCTGTGTATTTAGTCAAATGACGAAAAGTAGGTGTGCATAACGTAGTATTAATGGAATAAAAAAGGATTTATTTTTTATAGTTTTGATCAATTAGTGTGTTGTTTATTTAGTGCCAGATTTTAAACGTCTTTATACATAAAAGAGTTGCAATGTTCTCAATTGCTTAGTTTGGTATAAAATACATGAATCACTACATATTTTTAACTGATGAACTGGTTTGATATATTTCAAAAATCGAATTTACGACATAAGTTTACCAACTTCCATCGGTTTTACCATCGTCCATCATTCAAATAATTTTCATCACTTTCATCTTTCGTCATATGGTGTTTGATTAATAAAAGACTAACCCTAGGTTACACATTTCATCAGCGTAAACCCTCCAAATTTATCTAATTATACACCACCATGCCTATTACAAGTTATCAAAAATTGTCTAAATTGTTTTAACCAAGAATAATAACATTAAATGCATGAAATCGTGGTGACAAACTCTCGATCAATAACGTTGTTGAAATGATGAAAACGTAAGTAGGATCTTTACTAATGACGAAAATATAAATTCCTCAACGAAGAAAGCCTGAAAATTGCACCAAGAAAAGCACTAACAAACGACGATTTAGACAACAATAATTTAATAACAACAACAACAAAACTGAGACAATAACCTGTACTCTAAAATAAAACTAGTTAGTAAAAAGAATAAAAATAACAAGGTAAACAAAAAAAAACTTATAGCATGCGATACCACGATTTGAAACAATACAAATTAAATACGTATTTAAAAGTTTTCATATGAATTTGTGTAGTTTAGTATGTACAATACAATTGTTATGATAATCTTTATTATGTTAATAACAAATATCTTTATTAATAATACGAATATGTAATATATATTTTATCATCATATACCTTTAATAAATGAGTGTCGCCAAAGAAAAACCTGCATATCTAAAAATAGACTAATGAATTTCATTAGTGATCTATTTTTAAATATGCAGGTTTCTTTTGGTGACACTCAAATATTGTTATGAATATAATTATCATATTTAAATAGTTATATGTTGATTTCTTTTTGTATTATTTACTGGCATTACACTTGATCTTATTAGATCTTAATAGCATTGAACATCTTTATTTATTATATACTGAATTTTAATAATTAGACAAAAATAATAATTCATTTTTGATGTAGAATTGTTTTTATAAAAAATAATTATTTGTATCCTTAATGAAAGTTTATTATGTAATAATTCATGAATAATCAATATAAATTATATATTTTTTATATATAATCTGGGAAATAAAATAATTAATAAATAATTAAGATGAATGTAATAACTTAGTAAAGTAGATAAGTTGTTAACTAGTAATACAAATCAAAATTAGAATTAATTAATTAGTTGGTTAGTTAACAACTAATTGACTGAACTTTTTAAACATTAACTAATTGATTAGTTGCAACTAATTGACTAAAGAATTGATTGAAAAATTATTTATTTATTTAATGAATTAGTTGCAACTAATTGATTAATTGATTAGTTGCAACCAACTGAAAAAATAATGATTAACTAATCAATTTGAGAAATTTTGTTAATTTATAATACTATTGTTAACTTTTCAAATGTTAGATTATAAGTTCAGAACTTACAAATAGCAAAATTTGAATTTTTTACTTGTATTATATCAACTGTTTTTTTTTTTTTAGTGTTAAGATAACCTCCTGGATCTTTGATTTTATTTAATAATGGTAAATATAGTTCAGTGAACCACTACAGGAAGAATATACAATTGGTTACATATATAACTTTTTTATATTACTTATTTAAGAAGTTTATCTAAAAGTTCTTACCAATTGTTATATCTAATATCTTTATTTAGATATTTTATTTTAAACTCTCTAAACCTGCAAATCTATTAACTTCACTAGATCATACTTGATATTCAGATTATTGTCTCAATCTTAGGACTATTTCATCTTTAAGGTAAATCCTCCAGAGCTTTTTGTATTCATTTTTACAACTAATCTAGATATCACTATAATAGAATTAACACTTGCAATCAGGACTTAGTCATTAAATCATTATACTCTTGTAGAGTTTACTTAGATCTTAGCATCTACTTTATAGCATAACTCTGATACTTTAGTATATCTTTGTTTTTTTACCTGCTTTTTTACCAAATTTCTAATTCAGATAGTCTATATAGAACTATAACTAGTCCATCAATATATCAGGTCAGCCCAATATCTTTTTCTTCTGATTTGTTTTAGCAGTCTGGTTGATAGTATCTTAAGACTTTCAACCTAAAAGTTCTTGTCTGTTTAGCTATTATAACCAGGTACTATAACCTTGGTATCCATTTTCCTGATCTAGTCTTTACAATAGGACCATTAAAGATTCAGTTACCTCTTTACTTAGATCTTCCCAAATGAACTTCTTGTTATCCAATTTCAATAGATTTATATAGTTATAAGAACTTATCTAGTATTTGCATCATTTGATTTGTCAATTTGCATTCTTCTATATAACTTTAATATTGCACAGATGTCTTATAACCTGTTAGTCATGCTAGTACAACCACTATTACAGATATCCTAACTCAATTATTAGTAACAGTTGTCATAATATAAATATTACATAGATGATTATCTAAATTTTCACTATTAATAGGATTTGAACACTCAACTTACTACTTGAAAGATTGACAACCTGACCACTTTACTAGGTTATAATTAGGGTTCTACAAGTGCCAGGCATGGGTACTATTAAAACATAGTGCCAGGCACAGGTCTGGGCACCATTTTTAATACTATATGCTTAGCACTTGCAAAACCCTAGTTATAATACTCATATATCAATTGTTTTTAATAATTAAATTAAAATATGTTTCTAATAATTAGATTAAGATATTTATAATTATAATCATATTAGCATAATTAGTAGTTTTTTTTTTTTAGTATTTAAAGTAATCTTTTTGGTCTTTTAATTTTATTAATACTTTTATCAAGTATCATAATAAGTGTATAAATGATTATATATATAATTTTTTTATTTTATCTATTTAAGGAGTTTGCCTAGAGGTTTCTTATTAGTTGTTATATTTAATACCTCTGCTTAGGTGTTTTATTTAAACCTTCTAATCTGAAACTCTTGTACCAACTTTACTAGGTTACTTTTACTTAGATTCTTGTTTCAACCTTAGAACAATTTTATTCTTAAAAGTAAACCTATTAGAGTAAGTTATATATTTTCTATCTACTACTAATCTGGATTTTCTACTATGCTAAAATGGTCAAGATTATTTATTAAATGCTATTATCTTTGTTAAGTTCATCCAAACTCTAGTATCTGTTTTTTTGATATCTTTTTTATTATCTCCTACTAGCTACAACTCAGAACTAACAAATTTCTCAAACTTCCAATCCAGATAACCCAGTATGTTATACTTATATATTCTTTTCTACCAATGATTTTGGCAATCTGGTTGGTTATATACTCTTTTATATATCTTGTTATTCAGTTTATCTGCCAATTTTTATGAAGATGTTTTATGAGTTTCTATTAGTTTAATAGCATTATTGAAAGTTTATGCTATCTTTTTATTCAGAATTTCCAAGTAGGCTTTTATCTTAGTTTTCTATGCCTAGTAATCTTATTATAGATTTGCACTAAAGACTTATGTAACATCAGTTTTTCATATTTCTTTATATATATATATATTACACTTTTTATAAATATCTTAAACTCCAAAAATCAGATAGGCTTTGATCTGATGTACTTATATTAAGAAAACATTAGTATGCTCCTTTCAATCCATCTACAGATACAATTTGGCATATCAAAATGAAATATATACAGACAAAATAGATAAGAATTTGTTTGTTACTTTCATATAGCAAGTTCCAAGTAATCAATATTGCATACACCAGTATGAAGGTCTTTTATTAGTTTGTTATAAATTTTAAAACCCTTTATCTATAAGATTATAGACATTAAAATATCTTCTTTTATTTATAATTTGACAATCTATTTGGCAATACCTAAAAATAGATAATGCATTGGATTAATTACAAGAAATTGAACAAATTAAAATAAAAAAGTTAATAAATTTCAGACCAACAGACTAAAGTTTCTAATATACACTTCCTTTTTGCATTATCAGTATTACAATTCTTCTATCTTGTAGCATTTTGTTGAAGTTTATTAATATTTTTTTCAACAAATTATTCATTTATATCAACAAATATACCAAAGCTAGGCTGATTTCTTTTGTTAAAATTGGC